CCAGCGCCGACGACCTCGTCGTGCGCCTTCTCGATCGTGTGGTTGCTGTCCTGCTGCACGGACCGCGACATGCCGACGGACTCCCGAAGGCCACTCCGCCTACCACCTGGGCCTCCTGCTCCAAGCAGGATGTCGGGGACATCGCCTCCGCCTCTCCTCCAATCACCTGGGCGCGGCGTGGGGAGCCGACCACTCTTCCCTCCACCTGGGTCGGGCTCCTCTATCGATCGAACCTCTCCGCCAATTACCTGGGTCCTGGCCTGTCCTCCCGCCACCTGGGCCCTTCCCGACGCGGGGCTCTCACCTACGACTCCACCGCTGACACGCTCGGCCTCTCCTCCCACCACCTGGGCCTCCAGCGCCACCATGGCGGCATCAGCGCTGGCGGACTCCACCGCCAAAGGCCACACCTTCGACGGGCACGCGTCCACCCCCTCCTCAACTGCGTCGCCTGCGGAGCCGTACCCGAGCTCCTCCAAAAGGAGCACCTCGGGAGGAACCTCCCAAACTCCAGGCGGCCGCAGCGGCCAGATGGGAGCAGCGCCACGACGGAGCCCGACACAATGACGGCGCACCTCCAGCCGAGGTCCCCCTTGGGCGTGCCTGAGCTCGGCGCCCGAGGCATCCGCAAAGCACAGACCTCCGCCATCAGCATGGAGAGCCGTATTGCGACGTAGCACATCAAGATGTTCCGGAACCTGGCCGGCCAACATCTTGCCCAAAAGGGGCACCGCTGCCAGCAGCCAGTCGACCAGCTCGCGGTCGCCTCCGGACACGAGCTCGACGGATTCGCGGACCTCGATGAACTCGTCCTCCTGCGCCACCTCCTGGGTGTTCAGCCGTGCCACCTCGGCAGGAGCAGCAGCGAGTCCGAGGTCAGCAGCAGCCTGCGCCTGCCGTCGTGCGACCGCGCGCTCGGCACGCGAGCGCCGCTGACCTCCATGAGGATCGCTGGGCGGCGACCCTGCCCGTGCCATCCCGAGCGGTCCCGTGCGGCCGAAGGCGGGCGGAACCCACGACTTGAGCCAAAGTGGCTGCGGAGGAGGAGGAGGAGGAGGAGGAGGAGGAGGAGGAGGAGGAGGAGGAGGAGGAGGAGGAGGGGGGAGGAGGAGGAGGAGGAGGAGGAGGAGGAGGAGGAGGAGGAGGAGGAGGAGGAGGAGGAGGAGGAGGGGGAGGAGGAGGACGACGGGAACGGGGCACTCCTCGGGCCCCGAAGGCCCCCCCCCTGGGCTCCCAAGGGAGCCCGCCCCGCGGGGCCCCTTTTCTGCAGCCCGCCGCTGCCCCTCCACTCCCCCCATGTCAGGGGGACGTAGGACCCGGGTACGGGGGACTCGGAAATCCCCGACGAGGTCGTCAAAAAAATGACGAGGCCGAGCCTGCATTTTGACGAGGCCTCCCGCTGCAGACATCCAACGAAACTCCTCCTCGTCAAAATCCGAGGCGCGGTCGTCAAAAAACGATGGCGAACCCGAGTCCTGGCAAACCCGGGTCTTACGCTTCCCCGACATGACGCTTTGCTCGGGCATGTCCTCCCACGGGCGGACTGCGGAAAACACATGGAACATCGGCAGACACAAAACTCAACCATCGCCCCACCTTGTCGAACATCGCCTTTTTTTTTCAGTACAAGAGCTTCCCAAATCAAAAAAAAAAAAAACAAGCACCATGGTTGAACCTTCCTCCCGTGGACGGACATGCCCGCCTGAGCATTGCGCGAGGCCTGGCGAGGGAGGCCCGGCTGCTGGTCGCAGGGCGGCGGCGGGCGGCGGCGCGGCGCGAGGCGCAGCGGCGCGAGGCGCAGCGGCGCGAGGCGGGCCGGCGCCCCCCGGGGGGGGGGGATCCTGCACGCGGCCCGCGAGGCCTGCGAGCGGCGGCGCGCCGCTGCTTCTCTCGCTCGGGGCTCGAGCTGAGCAGTGCGCCCTTCGTGCTCGCTCTGCCCTCGTGCCTGCCCTCGTGCCGCTCTCGCTCCGCCCTCCGCTGCGGCACGAGATCGAGGCGACGGCGCTCCACGAGGTCGCCCAAAACAGCACCGTCTGTCGTTCTCCCTCGTGCCGGCGTCGTCCCGCCTCTGCTGCGACGCTCCGAGCGAAGGCGCTCCCGGACATCGACAGCACACCATTGTTCAGCTCGAGCCCCGCTCTCGGCCGTGGCCCTCCCTGCCTCCCTCCCTCCCTGCCCCCGCTCGCCTCTTCTGCTGCTCCTGCTCCTCAGAACCTGGTGTTCTCCCTTCCTCGTCCCGCGCCCCCTCCTGGCCGTCCCCGCCGCTACCGCTTCTCCAGGACCTGACGCGATCCCTGCTCCCCTTTGTCGCCCTCGTCCCCCGCCTCCTCCGGGTCCTCCTGGTGGCTCCTCCTTTTCCTCCTGCTCATGTGCCTCCTCGTCCTACTCGGGCCGCTTATCCCTCTCGCACGCTCGCGCGCGCTCTCGCTCACTCGTGCTTTGGCTTGGTGTTGTGTTCATTCGTTTTTTTTTGATTCCTCTCTCTCTCTCTCTCCCTCCCTCCCTCCCTCCCTCCCTCCCTCCCTCCCTCCCTCCCGCTCTCTCTCTCTCTCTCTCTCCCTCTCTCTACTGTCTCTCTCTCTCTCTCTCCCCCCCTCTCTCTCATTCTTTCAGCGCTGGTCTCGTGTACTCTTTCTTGTGTGTGCGTGTCTCTGTCTCAATATCTGTCCCTGTCTCCGTCTCTGTCTATCTCTCTCTCTCTCTCTCCTTTCTTTTGTTGTTCCTCTCTCTCTCTCACACAAACACGCACTCAAGCACTCCCCCTCTCTCTCTTTCTCCCTCCCCCCCCCTCGCTGCTGCAGCGTGCAGCGTGCGACAGCCGAGCACGCGCGGCGCTCGCGCCAGGGCGCGCCCCGAGGCCTCGAGCCTGCCGCCCCGTGCTCGGGCCCAGGTCCGTGCCCCCCCCCATCGCCGGCGGCCGGCCCTCGCAGCAGGGCCAGCTCCCCGCCCCACTGCGGGGGGGCGCGCAGACGTGGAGTAGCGATCCGGGGCCTTGGGGCGCGGTCGCCAAGTCCATGGATCGGGGGGCGGTGCCCTCCCCAAGATGCGGCGGGTGCCGCCTCGCTCGGCGGCGGAAGTCCGCGACCTGCCCCGGAAACGGGGCCCGTCGCTGAGCCACGCCCCCCCTGATCCATGCTTGTCTGCGATCGCCCGACCGAGGCCCGGCCCCCCTGCCACCCAGCTGCCGCCCAAAGCCGTGGGTGCGAGGCGGGGACTTATCAATATCCACCGCCTGGGAACCGACGTCCTGGTGCCCCAGCGGGCGGTGGATATGGATATGTTTGGGCCCCCAAGGGCCCGAATACAGTGCGGGCGCGGCCGCAAGGAGCCCTCGCGCAAGAAATCCAACCCCGAGAACCCGTGCGCGAGGTGCACATGAGGGGAAACCTGGAGCACCCCGAACGCAGCAGCTCCTTCAACGGCTGCGACAAGTCGCCGCGCAGCGCGAGAAGCGAAGAAACCCAGGATACCCTGACGAAAAGCAGATGGTTTCTTGATGCGCGCCCGCACTGTATTTATTTCCCAAGGTTCTCCGAGAGGTCACAAGTCCATCCGTGCAGTGCCCGGTGATGAATCACCGCCTTTATTCGGCCAACTGCTTTGCCAGAAGCTGTAATGGCAAGAGCGGCGGAGAGGGGGCGAGAGCGACCGCACTGTGTATCCATATCCGCCGCCTGCCGAGGCCCCCGAAAATGGATCCTTCAGGCGGCGGTCATGTAGACACTCCCGCCCAAACCCGTGAGCCACAGGCGCCAACTCCCTCTCCAGCCTGCCCGTGCCCGACCCCTCCCTTCCTCCCCCCCTGGCCTGGACCTCCGCCCTCGCCTGCCTGCGCCTGCCGCCTCCCTCCTCCTCCTCCTCCTCCTCCTCCGCCTCCGCCTCCTCCTCCTCCCCCATTCCTCCTCCTCCTCCTCCGTCTTCTGCTTGCTCTCTCCTCTTCCTCCTCCTCCTCCTCCCCCTCCCCTGCGCTTCCGCGCCTGCCCGACCCCCCCCCCTCTCCTCCAGCCGCTCGCCTGCTCCCCAGAGGCCCGCCCGGCACGGTGCATGCTCCCGCCCAGCTGTAGCCGAGGCCAGGCTGAGCTGTGCACCCTCCCTGGGGCACAGCTTTCTGATGGCGCCAGGGCTAGTCGTCCTCCTCCTCCTCCTCCTCCTCCTCTTCTTCTCCTCCTCCTCCTCCTCCTTCCTCCTCCTCCTCCTCCCCTTCCCCCCCCTCCTCCCCTTCCCCCCCCTCCTCCCTTCACTCCTCCTCCGAAGAATACCCCTGGCCTTGGGTGTCTCCATAAGTTCCAGGAGGCCTCCGAAGGCCTCCAGAACATGACGACGACGACCACGACGACAGGGCGGCCCTGGCCAGGCACGGCGGTGCACATCCAGAAGGTCAGAGGAGCAGCGAACGGCCCGATACTCAACTTTCGGAGCTCTGCGCGGACTTCCCGGATCGGCGCTGGACCCCCCCCCCTCCTCGGTGCGCGGAGCGCGCCAGGGGCGGCGGGGGCGCCGCGGGGTCGGGCGCCGATCCAATAGATCCGCGCGGGGCCCCAAACGCTCGCCATCGCTCGGACGTCCATTTCCTGTGTTTTTTGTTGGTCTCGTGCGTGTTTTTTCGCCAAATGATCAAGGATGCTCCTCGATGGTCCTCGCCGAAGGAAAAATGCACACGTCCGAGCGATGCCAAGGACCTGCCTGGGGGGTGCGGCAGGCCCGTGCCCCGGGGGCCCCCGCGGCCGTCCACCACGGGGCGCGCCTGCTTCGGGGACGCACCGACCCGTGGTCGCTCTCAGCCCGAGCGGGTCGGGCCTCGCAGGGCCTTGCGGGGCCCTGCAAAGCCCAGCGCTCTGGCGGACCCCCACTTGCATTGACCCCCGCCTCCTGCGCACCGGCTGCCTGGGCGGACGTCCACTCCCCCCCCGTCCTTCGTCGTCGCCGGAGGATCCAGAATGCTCCTCCGCCCGAGCGGTGCCAAGCCCTCGTTCCTGCTGCTCCTGCCGCTCTGGGCGCGCCGCCCGTGGCCCCCCCGCCCGGGCCTCCAGGGCCGCCGCGTAGTGGTCCCCCGCCGGGCCGTGGTGCAGCAGCGCCTCGGCGGGCACGGGCGCCCCCCCGACTAGGCGCCCGAGCCGCAGCCGCCCGCCCGTTCCGGCGCACGACGAGGCTAGGACGAAGACAACATCGGGTGAGGATAAGTGGGGATCTCTGAGGTAAGCGTTTTCGTATTCGGCGACTCGACAGTGGGCGGAGGGGGGGCGGGAGGGAGAGGGGGAGGGGGTCTGGCTTCGGACCTCCGCGTAGCGCGAATATTTGCAACAGTGCGTCCTGCGGGGGGGGCTCCACCTGCTCGAAACAGACGCCAAAAACAACCATATCTACTCCATGGCGCCGATCGGCAACGCAACGAACAAGAAAACGATCGCGAGATCCGGCTGCCTTGGATTGGAGGATGTGTCAGGCGCCGCGGCCGTTTCGGAACGTCCCAAAACCGGTCGATTTTCGCCCTAACCCGTCCCCCCCCCGTAAGGGTGACTTTTAAGACTATGTGACGTGATGTGTCTTCGGTGCATTAATAGATCAGCGTTGTTTTTTCCTCTTCATATACGCTTGATGTAGTTGTATATGTAGATGCTGATGCAGACGTTAACGATGATGCTGGTGTGGCTGTTGTCCTCTCGGTTTCCCCATTGTCTCTTGTCCTCTTGGTTTCCCCATTGTCTATTGTCCTCTTCGTTTCCCCATTGCCTCTTGTCCTCTTGGTTCCCCCATATTGTCTTGTGGACTCTTGGTTCCCCTATTGTCTCTTTTCCTCTTGGTTGCCCTATTGTCTGGGGCCTGGGTGGGCGGGAGGCCCTCCCAGGAGTGCGACTGCCGAAACCTATCAAAAAACAATGGAAACGCGTCTTGGAGCAACAAAACCTGTGAAACAACAGAAACAACACAAAAAACAAAACAACAAAAAAATCCTGTGACAGTACCAACAGAAAACAAACATATAAAAAGGTTTTCGGGATTCTGATGGTCTGGGGCCTGGGTGGGCGGGAGGGCCTCCCAGGAGTGCGATTGCCGAAACCTATCGAAAAAACAATGGACACGCGTCTTGGAGCCGCGAAACCTGTGACACGACCAAAAAAACAAAAAACAACAAACATCAAAGGAGGGCCGACTCCAGACTCCAGGAGGGCCCGCCAAGAGTGCGAGGTCCGAAAATCTTGGATTTTTGTTTTTTTGGTAGTGTCACATGTTTTTTTGTTTTTTTGTAGTGTCACAGGTTTCGTGGCCCTAAAATAAAGAAACCTGTGACTGTCATTGGAGAACAAATGAAATCAAAGGTATTCGGCCACCGACCACCCCGGCTCCGGACCCCAGGAGGGTCCGCTGCGAGTGCGAGGTCCGAAAACCTTTTGATGTTTCTGTTTTTTGGTAGTGTCACACATTTGGGTTTTTTTGTAGTTGTATTTTTTGGTAGTGTCACAGGTTTCGTGGCCCTAAGACAAAGAAACCTGTGACTGTCATTGGAAAACCAGTAAAATTAAACTGGAAACCAATAGTCCGTGTGACTCTACCAAAAGACCAAAAATCCTTGCGCAACGGGAAGGTCCTCCTCCTCCTCCTCCTCCTCCCTTTTCTCTATCGCTCTCTTTCTCTTTCTCTTTTTTGTTTGTTTGTTTCTCTCTCTCTCTCTCTCTCTTTTGTTTCTCTCTCTCTTTCTCCCTCTCTCTCTCTCTCTCTCTCTTTGTCCTCCTGAAAAGGGGAGCAGGGAGTGCAAGGAGGCATGGGGGAGGAGGGAGGCAGGGAGGGGGAGGGAGGAGGTAAGGGGAGGGAGATTGCAATTGAATGTGATTGCAATGCGATGCAATGCGACTCTAATGCAATGCGACTGCAATGCAAGTCAATGCAATTGAAATGCATGCGTCCTCTGAGATCTCGTTTCATGTTGTCCGCTCTGCCCTGGACGTGCTCGATTCCCTGCGCCCTCCCGCGTGTGCGCGAGCGCGCCCAGCTCGCGGGCCGCGTCCAACCCATGGGTTGGACGCAGAGTCACCACGTGCCCAACCCATGGGCGGGAGAAAAAATATATGTTTCGCGTTGGCATCCGAGAGCGGGCGGGCTTCATGCCACCGCCCACGGGTTGGACATGGGATGCGCACCGTGTCCAACCCGTGGGCGGGAACGAGATTATGCGATTCGCTTTGGAGACGCAGCCCCCGCTTGCCCGGCGCATGGGCGGGGGAGAGATGATGTGATTCGTTTGGGCACTTGGGCGCGGGCTAGTCGCGGGGCCCCGCCCATGGGTTGGACATGGGGCGCACCAGGTGTCCAACCCATGGGCGGGAGAGACATAATGCGACTTTCCATCCATTCATTCATTCACCCGTTCATCCATTCATTCATTCAATGGCCTCAGACTCCATTCTTTCCTTTGCTCAATCTCTGACCGCCGCGGCTCGCGTCACATGTGGATGGAGAGAGAGAGAGAGAGATAGAAAAACAAAAAAAAACAAGAGAGAGAGAGAGAGAAAGAAAGAAACCGAGAGATAGAGAGAGAGAGAGAGAGCGAGTGATGTCCCTCCCCCCCCGCTCTTCCACTTCCTCAAGATGGCTCGTCCTCAGCGTGCGACATCACTCATTATCCCTCCTCATTGCCATCCCTGCAGTAAGAAGCAACAACAATGATGCAATACCAATGGGTACAACAGGAACACCAACAGAACGCCGCACAACCGATGATGATGATGATGATAATGATGATGATGATGATGATACTGATAGTGTTGATGCTCCAGATTGTGGTGTAGATGGCGGCGTCGATGCTGGAGCAGATGTTGAGGAACGCGCTGATGTCCGACGTATGGGGGTTCTTATTGAACTCGGCGTGAGATAGAGAGAGATATACATAAAGAGACAGAGAGAGGGACAAACGGAGATACAGAGAGAGAGAGAGAAAGACAAAGATAACGAACACCCAGTAACATGATAAGAACAAGAAGACAGCAACCAATAACAATAAGAGTGAACAACAACGAACAAAACAGCCGCGGCGTGAGAAAGCAACGTGCGTCACATAGTCTTAAGAGTCACCCCCACCGTCCCCCCCCCTCTGGACGAGGCGCCCGAGCCGCGCCGCAGGCGCCAATTCGATGGGCAGGGACGCGCGGCCCGAGAGGCGCGGAGACGCCCCTACAGCCGGACCTAGGGTTACCTCGGGCATGTCCTCCCACAAGTGAAATTTGGAAGAAAAGCAAATCACCCCGACGGGAAGACCCCGCATGGGATTCTACTCGGACTGCCCATTGTTCTTTCCTTTTCGCTCTGGCCGAAGCCCCCCGTCTCGCCCTTTGTTGCGCCTCCTCTTCATCCTCCTTGTCTTCCTACTCCTCCGTCTCCTCCTACTGCTCGCCCTGCTTGTTCAATTTCTCCTGTTCCTCTTTTCGTTGTCCTCCTTTTCCTCCACCTCCTCCTTTTCCCCCCGGCGTCTCCATCCCGCCTGTTCTCCTCATGCGCACCCTCTTCCTTCTGGCAGGGGGGCGCATGCAGATTTTCGTCGGCGCCCTCGCCGCCGCGCCCGGCAGTGGCGCGTTCTCCGACGGCACAGTCGCGAAACCGTCGGGGCAACGACTTCTTGGACAACCCCGCGAGCCGCTTGGGCGCGAGAGCAAGCCGTTGGAGCCGAGACATGAGAGAGGGTTGCAAGATTCCGCTGGCCCGATCGGACCACCAACATGAAGTGCGGACCCCATAGGGAGGTGGCTCTCACTTGATACGCCCTCGCAATTCACTAACGAACGAAAGTCCCGCCTGAGACTTCCTCCATATTCGGTCCAGAGTAGCCGAACATTGAAGATAGTTACAGGATTCCGGAAACCCGTTCAGATTACCGACGCGAAGCGCGACCCCATAGGGAGGGGGCTCTCGACTGAGATTTCCTTGCAATGCGCTCACAACCGAAACTCCCGCCTGAGACTTCCTCCGTATTCAATCCAGAGGAGCTGAAAAGTGACTACACCTGTTCGGATTACCAGCGTGAAGTGCGGACCCCATAGGGAGGGGGCTCTCGCCTGAGACTTCCTCGCGCATTTCTCACAGACGAAGCTCCCGCCTGAGACTTCCTCCAAATTCAATCCAGCGGAGCCGCAACAACAACGACAATTACAAGATTCCGAGGACCCGACCGGATTACCAACATGAAGCGCGGACCCCATAGGGAGGGGACTCCCAGCTGAGACTTCCTCGCATACCACTCACAGACGAAACTCCCGCCTGAGACCCCCTTATCCACTCCAGAGGAGCCAGAAAGTGACGACAACTGCAAGACTCCGCGGACCCGCTCGGATTACTAGCGTGA